CCTTTTAACAGGCAGTAACCTCCAGGATAACGTTTTACACTATGTTAAGGCAAAAAAGTTCATATTTACGCAATACTGGCTCTTTAAATATCTTATTGAAAGCTTTATCAGCCAAGAAATCAATAAATGTATAAACATTACGACCATGAAGAAAGTATTTTTGTAAAAATATGACCTAACGAGTATGGAGGACCTAGAGAGGCACTGAAAAAATACAGCCATTTTAGAGTTAGCATTTAAATAATGCAATTTGGAATCCAATTTGAAAAACATTTTTGACTTGTGGAAATGGAGTTTTAAAAAAACAAAATTCATAAACCTGAATATAAATACATTTCCTAATCATTTAAAAAGATAACTCCTTATTCTATTTTCAAATCGTTTTTTTTTTTATTGCATTTTCTTTTTTATTTACCTGCTCTTTTTACCTTGAGCAAATGCTTTTCGAAATGGATTTCAAATAGCACAATTTAAATGTAAAATTTGAAATGGCTGTTTTCAGTGACTCACTGGGTCCTTCATAGTTGATGCAAAATTAATAATCAAACAGAGATTGCTAATATTCTACTATCCTTTTGCCTTGCAGCTCACCTGATCTCTACTCCAGGAGGAGCTGGCACACTGTGAGGAGACCCCCATACAGAAACAGCGTAAACAGCCATCAGGGTTGGTTTCTGATAGGTGGAAGAACCCAGCCTTACACTCATCACACTGATCGCCTGCCACGTTGTTCTGCAATGCACACACAAAAAAACAGCATGAGGGAGTCAAACATATGGAATCCATCTGCATGGCATGCCTGCCGTTCCCTTTAAGATAAACTGCGATACCTTGCAGCTGCATGGCCTGCTGCTGGAGCTGATGGTTCCTCTGTTATCACAACTCGAGCTTTCTGCAGGGAGAGGTCATTGGAAACAAGATGATGTGGTGTGCAGATTGTAGTGCACCTGGGAGAGCTCTAGCTATGCTGCATACCTGAGTAATGACGAAATACTACAGAAACACAATCCTGGCAATCATTACACAGTTAGGAGAGAAGCAACCCCCCGTCCAGCTCCTGTTCATTCACTCATGTCTGTCACCTGGAAATCCAAATTAAGACTCACCTTTTCGAACGCATTTTCCATTAGGTTGGAGGGGGTTACCCTGGTAACCAGGAGCACACCTAAAATTAAAAAAGAGCATCATTAAAGATCTGCGATTAAAACTTAAAGCTGCTTATATAAACATAACATTTATAGTTAGAAGCTCATTTCCTGAACTAGTCAGCTGGACTATAGAATAAATGACATAAGTTTCCGTACTTTTCGCAGCGTCTTCCTGTGTATCCGGGCCTGCAGGCGTCACATGTGGGCTGCTGGTCGGTGTGCAGGAAGCAGGTGTCAGAAAAACTGTACGGAGCATTGAAAGCGCCATAGAGGAAGAATTAACAGCAGTGAAACAATGTGATTGAGTTTAACTTCCTGTGATTTAAAAACTAAAGTGCAAATATCTGGTTTAAATCAGTGAAGTGTATGATGCCTTGTTTTTTGGAACGTGTTCACTATTGTTGGGTATCTAGGCTTACCGTCGGGATGTCTCGGTGTACGGGCAGGGGCAGGGCTTGCAGTCGTCAGGTCCACCTCTGGTTGGATCGCCAAAGTAGCCAGGGCGGCACCTGTCACACTGGGGGCCCTCTGTGTTGTGTTGGCAGCTCTGTGGTAGAGGGAATCACACACTTTAAATTCCATAATAGTATGTTAAATTTAGCAATCGCAAAATGCAGTTTTTCCAAAAGTAATGCTCGTCTTTCTGTGCCCTTATAGCTGTTGCAGCTGTTGCTTTCCACAAGATATGTGAGTCTGTTTTGAAAGGCTTCCTTGTATTTGCAGGAGTGCATTTTGAGATCAAGCATTGATGTTGTATAAAAAAGTATTGGCTGACTAATAAATTGTATGTGCTCATGTTTAGATCACTCAAGTTCTATCGCTCATTCATATCTTAATGGACCTTTCGTTTTGTCAGTATATGAATGAGCCATCACTGAACTGTTTTAACAAAACGCTGGGGCATTAAGTGCTTCAAAGTTTCATGGTGCCTAAGGAGCTCCTCTCAATGAAACTACATTGCTAAGAGCAACTGCTACAAGTTCTTCTCCATTTCAAAATGGGACTCTTAAGCCAGTCACACCTTGAGCGTGTGACAGGCATATGCCTGATGTCCCAGAATCTTCTAAAACGCTGGCATCCGCTCAACTTTCTATGTATTTTTTCAATTCGGGCATATACATAGAGTATTCATATCAAGTCCAGAGCGTATGTCCAACAACAGCCAAACTTATGCATAATGCACAGCAGCATAATGCTCATGAAATGTCACAAGCCATTGCCCAGAGGCGCTCGGCCTGCATAAAAAGATTTCTTTGATCATGGTATTAACCTAACTACTGTTAGGCCGGTGCATCTACAAAGCAAAGCCTCACTTCATGACCAGCCTAAAATAGACTTGGGGTCTATCCAGTTGGAGATACCCAAGCCTTCTTGTAGAAAATTGTAGAAAAAGGTGTGTTCATCCCCACTTACTGTCAATAAGCACTAAGCACCAAGACGTCTTATGATACGGGCTGAAACTATTAGCAGCCCTTTATTGCGATAATGCCAAAATAAAATAATGTCAACGTATCTTTGACAAGTCATCATCATGTACTTCTTATTTAAAGACTGTCATTGAGTAATTTGTTATTTTTTTTCCCAGTAATGTGCTTGTTGCAGCGCAATTTGCAACAGGGACTTTAAGAGGACTCTTCATGTTTGCCGTTCTCCCAACAGAAGCTGACACGGTGGGCAGAGGTAGAGCAATAGAGGAATAGCAACAGCAAAGAGCTGAAGTGCAGTTGAAGGGAAGGTTTAGAGAGTGACCAAAACTTTCAAAAGCACAAGAACATTTCCCAGAGAACAAAGCCGTAAAGTTGATCAATTTTAGGCTGTGCAAAGTCGAACTGGAGCATCACAAGAGCTATATGGTTAGGCATTAGAACCTAAAATGCAAAAATCCTAGAGACAAAAAAAAAGCCTAACTTTCAGCATGGTTTAGTAAATCATGCATTATTTTACCTTTCTAAAAATAAAATGTATTATTTTAATGTTTTCTACTAATTAGAATTATTTGAGAATTCAGATTCATGAATTATCACTTAAAGAATGTAATGAATTATTAATAATTCATTAAATAATAACAAATAATTACTGTGTTTTTATTTATTTAAATATACCCTAAGATAAAATTAGACTTAAATTCTAAAATGTAATATATATTTTAATATATTTTAATATATTTTAAAGTAAAATCCCAACATTAGAGAGCTATGTCTTACCAGACAGTGCCCACTGACTGGATCACAGGCTGTAGCGTGTCCGTTACAGTTACAACCAGCACAAGTACCAAGGTAGGAACCCCCGGGGACCCGCTCGAAACCAGACAGGCACATTTCACAAGACAGGCCCGTGTATCCAGGAGGACACCTAGAATGGAGAAACAAAAGCACAATCATCCAAGGTTACAATCAGGCTTTTAGCTAGCAATGCATACGGCCGTACACAGCATGGCCTTTACTAAAAAGATGACAAATCGTATGCCCTGTTTTTCCCTTGGAAACTTCACTCAAATGTTCAAAATTTCTCAAGCAGCAGATGCTGGTGTTGTAGAAATTGTATCTAATCTTCAAAACCTACATGCTAAAAATTTTAGTTTTTATTATCCTGGTGCATGCAGTTTGTACCACATACCTGAAAAAACGCTAACATCTATTTCCAAATGCCACAAACGGTAAGGGAAAACCCACATGACGCAACCATGCCTGAGGCAGCTGATGCTGGGGATTCCCAGTGACAACGCATCACCAGTATGTGGGGGTCTGTGCTATCCTGGCAGCAGCCAGATTGATATGTGTAGAACCAAGTTGAGTTTTATGTTGTTGTAAAAACTGAAAACTCAGACCTCATGTCAATCCAGCTTGCAGCACAAGGTTAGGTCTGTGCCTCTGACAGTGAAATAATATTTTAAGGCAGGGTCATAGTCTTGTTCAACTGACTACACAGACAATGTTTTCAGGTGGACTGTCTTGCATAAGAATATATTAAAACTACTTTTTACCAGCTTATCACTGCAGGTATAGTAAAGCCGCTCTCTGCCATTGAGCACAGGAGCAGCAGATGCCTAAAGAAGTGATACATCAAGGTGTAGACCCTATCAAATATTCCTAGCTAAAGGCCTGGTTACAATCAAACCATTTATTGATTAACAAGAAAATTAAGTTGTGGGAGGCACAGCCAAATGAACATGGCATTTAAATCAACCATTAATAAATGCTAATAAAAATGAATTAGCCAAAATTATAAACAAAAAAGTGTGGTTTTAAGTTTGAGGATTTTTTTCCCTCCCTTGAACTCTGCAGAGATTGAGAGAACGTCGATTATCGGGTTTCATTCCTTCTTACCTGCATTCTTCAACATCCCTAGCATGACCAAGAGTGCTGAATTCCTCTGTTGTGGTATCCATGACGATGTGGCTGAGCGCCACGCTGACCATGTGGTTATCGTAGATGGTGCGGATGCTAATACTGTCCAGGCCAGCCAAAGTCATCATCAGGTCCTCGCGGCTGACAGGGAGGCCACTGGAGTGCTGCCAGTGCTCCTAGTAAACAATAGGCAGCAGATTCAAGCTAATCTCATGTTTTTATTGTTTTATAAATCAATCTAGTCATTTTCATCCAATCTTACTTCAGTGAATATGACCTCTTTCTGGTTAACCACATTGGGAGGGGTTCCGTTGCCTCGGCGATACACAAGCCTACGCCCGTTTCCAACCAGGATCACATCGGGTCTTGACACAGGTTCAGAGAGACCGCGGGCTAACGTATACCGGACCTTGTATTTCAGGGATCCTCCATATGAATCAACCTTACAGAAAATAAGATTAAATTAAAGTCATTTGTTTTTACTTTTTTTTAAGTGTATTGTTGTTCTTTTTTTGCACCAACCTTGTTGCCAAGGAATTGGCGAGGTAAGGTCCAAAAAGAATCAAGGTTGAGGAAACGGCGAGACAAGTCAACAAGCTGGAACTCTTCCATCTCTGGGTTAATAAGGAGCTGAGTGGAGGAGAGTGGGGGAGTATCTTGCCTGAATGGGTAGGTGACGTTTACTCCTGAAAGGAAAAGTCTCAATTTAATCGTATTTAATTGTAAAGTCTAGAAAATACGTAGTGATTCATTTAAGCTAATACTTTACCTACAGTGCACTGCTAAAGTATTTATAATATATTTAGTATTTATAAACACAATGCTATGGAGGTAGTTTTCAACAGCAGGTACATGGGAGGGTGGGAAGAAATATGGAGCTGCATACTTATTTGTCTAAAACAAACATGTTAACAACTCTCCATACTCAATTTGCACTATTGATGTCGAAAATGCATCATGCCTCCTCTCTGCTTTGGGTGTGGACCCATTTCTGTTAGATAATATGAAGCTCCAAATTAATTAAAATTATTAATAATAATTTTAAAACATATTGCTACTGTTGTCAGAACACATGCATGACTGTGTTAAAGGGAGTTATTAGTTTCCCTTTGTAAGTAATAAAGTATTTTTGAATTTGAATGGAATTGAATGACTTCACCCTAGCCAAAACATAACTAGTAACAAATATATTTTTGCTTATATTGCAGCTCTAAGGTGGAGATTTAAGTTTTAAAATATCTAATTTGCTTTATTGATTTTTGTTACAAACAAAAGAAAAAAAACAGATTTTGTTTTCAAATATTCCTTTCAAATGTATTATTTAATTAATTCATTAATAGCAAATATTTCACATTTTATAACTGAACTTCAAGTTGTGTTTGTGGTTCCAAAACAGCAAAGTGTAATTGATTAAGTCTTTACATCATACAAAGTAACGTATATTAACTAAGGTTGTGAATTAGTAAGGATCATAACAAGAATTGAGTGATATGATACGTATCACAATACATTTGTTACAATATAATTTATCCAAATATATCCCAATACAGTAAAAAAAAAAAAAAAAAAACAATAAAGTAGCTCTGGAAAAACCTAAGGGATCCTGTTGTTGCTCTGCGGTGGCTGAGCAGCTGAATAATAGGCGTTTGGGCAGAGTGCTGCCAACTAGTGGCTGGAGGTTTAAGAATTGTATATCTTTTATACATCTACAGTCTGTGTATTTTTT